GCGCAAATTCGACTTCCTTTTCCGAGCCAGACACTTCTTCACCCTCATTCACCTCTCGCTTTACAAGGCTCAGATTCCCCCCACACTTGAATACTGCAGTCATGTGTGAAGTGGAGCTTCGTCCGCCTCTTTTTCTCTTTTTGCTCGGGTTCAACGTAAGACCATCCATCTCATCAACAACCTGTCCCTAACATTCGATTTGCAGTCAGTAGCTCACCGTCCGGCAGTCGCTTCTTTATCCATATTCTATAGATACTACTTTGGATTTTGTTTTAATGAACTTTCCGCTTCTGTCTCTCTCCCGCTTGTTCTTCCTTGTAGATCCCGTGCACAAGCGGCTAGCCTCCCATTTCAAGTGACTATCCCCAGGTGTCGCATTTCCAACTTTCAATCATCTTTCCCCAAGAACAGCACAACTGTGGAACACTGTTCCCCTTTGGGTCTTCCCTTCAACGTACAACATACCTGCGTTTAAACACAATCAACAAGCTGGTTCCAGCTTGAATGTTCCCCTTATCTTCCCACTTACACTATATCTTCGTATACTGTGGTTTGCCCCTTTTGCTGTATCCACTTTCGCGTGAAAAAATCAATTGATTAGGGTTACATTGTCTACCTACGGGAACGTAGGCAATATTAGACTAAAAGCAAGCGACACCTTTAGTAACAAGAAAAGGTTTACGGCATAACCGAAGCTGTGTAGGGCCTCTTACGGTCTGAAATGCGAATCTAGTGGTACGCACTTTTCATTATCTAGGAAACTATGTGCAGCTCAATGTGAGATGTTCACCACCGTCGTATGTATCTACAGGTCTAATCGAAACTGAAGCAACAGGTCCCTGTGAAACACTTGTCGGTTCCTATGGGCAACAGCATTTATACTGAAGTAATTTTCTTCAAAGCTAATAATAAACAAGTCTTGGGGAGTCTTTATATCCGTGATTTTCCTGAATTGTTTATACTCGGCAGATGGAATGGTTCAAAATTTAGCGGATACTCCCATCTCGTCAGTAGTGGTTGACCTAGACCATGATGAGTTAAGAGGTAACTAAAGAGAATGGAACAGTTTTTATTAACAACAAATTAACAATGATCATAAGCAAGATGTAAAGTTTGTATACATTACTAGTCGATTAGTCTGTTTTTGTTCTTTAGAACTTTTTTGAGTCTCCGGCGTCAAACCCACCAACTTTGTTATGAAGCCATTTTCTATGTTGTTCTCCATTACGTATGTAGCAGTGTATACACAAAACCTGACCCGCAAATCAGCGGGGTGGTATGTGGCCGTAAATGTATTAGATAAGATGAAATGCAAAGTGCAGCTTCTGGTCGCCAGTGCTTCTACCAGGAACTGGAACGGATTCGAAGAGCGAGATTGCTCTGTTAGACGTTTTGCTTTTGGAGTTGGTCTTCAGTTTTGGTTGTTGACTGAGGGATAGAATTGTATTATAGCAAAGCAAACGCTGGGACACATTATGTGTTAAGCCAATGGAATTTATCTGATGTTTGGCTTAGCTTAGTTATCTGTTCGCTTGGTAGGTCTTTCAATTTGAACTCTATTCGATCACTTGTGCTTAGTAAGCCTTAGTTAGCCGTCTGAAGTGGCTGTATAAGAAATTTTCTTAAAGGTAAATCTTCCATTTTATGATGAATTGAGCAGTGTTCAATGGTAACTTCCCGATATTTTTGTAGATAATTTCATTTATTTGCAGCGGTAACTTCCACACATTACTTTTATAATTCACCTCTTCTTTTTTTCAGGGTGGTGGTGCCGGAGGATCTATTCGTGACGCCGGTGGTGCTTTTGGAAAGCGCCAAGCAAGACATGAAGAGGAGTACTTCCATCGCAAGGTGTTTATTTGTTTATTCCCACCGGTTGTTCACCCAGCGTTTCGTTAACTTCGAGCTAATTATTCCCGTTAACATCATCGTAACAGGTTTCATGCTTAACTGGTATGTGACTCCAGTGCACAAACCTACTCGTGTGGCGTTCAAATTACTGTCAGATAGTGCGCTCACTAGAGAACTAAATTATTAAAAAATAGGATTTTTGTGAACAGCGAATCGTTATTAATTTTCCAATCATCATTGTTTTCTTTCATGCGCATACTAACGAACGGCTGCTCTACTAATGGAATAAAGCCATATTAAAAATACTGCAGACCATTGCGCAAACCGCACGATACTGTACGGTTCTTAGCAGTTGTATTCCAATATTGGTTTTTTCCCATCACTTATATGCATATATATTTTTGTGATGGTAAAAGTCGACAACTGGAATGGACGTTTGCATATATATATATATATATATATATATATATATCGCAACGGTTAGTATATGAATGACTTAACAAAATTTCCCTGGAAACACTCGACCAGTTTTGCGGTTCTTACCACACGTCAGGTAAGCGTATCCGGTAACAATAATCGTTCAGATTGTTCTGCATCATACGCGTCGTTCGTAACATACTATCCTCGGGGTAATTGAATAGAACCGGACATCCTTGTTACATCCCACTGGAGAGAACAATTATGATGTAAGTGTGCAATGAACACCTGTTCTGTCTGTTGCCCGGCTGAACCACTGTATTCTAATTGTACATTATCAAGGGACATCCCGGAACAAAATTCAGATGAAACTGGTCCAAGGTAGCACGATAATTGTGGAGTGCGTCAGCGGACTTCTCCTGAATCTTGTACTGTGTTGTTAGTGGACCGTTTTATTCAGTGTTTTCATTTCTCAATGACCGTTTGGTCTTTTTTCCCCCAGGAGACTAACCAGCATTTACATATATGCAACCATGCTGATGTGTACACAATATAGACTGCTCGGATTATCTTCTTTTCATCATTTTTAGGGTTGTATGTTGTTTTACCAGGTCTTATTTTGTTTCATAAACTGCAGGAGAAAGAACAACTGCAACTGCTAAAGGAAAGGCTAGCAGAAGAAATGCAGTACCGAAAAGAAGAGATCAAGAAACATCAGGCAAGTCATAGTGGAATACAGTTCGGTCCTGTCCATAAACACGCGAGTTTTTTTAAGGTAGTATGCCCTTTGTTTCACTATTGAGCATAACATGCCCCTCTAGCGTTTCGAGTTTTTCAAAAATATTATTTTTCCCAGGAATCCTAATTACGTGCATGTTTGATTTCGTAAGTATCAGATGAATAAGAAACAGTGCCGTTCATACGAACAATTTTCGATACTTGGGGTAATCTCAATTTAATCTGAATTTTGTTTCTTTCGTTTTTTTAATCTATTAACTGTTGCATATGCGTTAGCATAGTACCGGTTTATTTTAAATGAGACCAAATCAGGTTATCTTTCCACGTATTTTGGGATTACGGGAAGTGATTTCACGTTATTTCTGTGAGGCGTTTTGCTTCATGAGTCTGTCAGCTTCACTGATCTAGTAATGATATTAGTATATACCGTTCTGTCACCGGTTTGTTCTCTTTTGTTGTTGCCTTGTCTTTCCACAGGAGGCTATCAAACGTCATGAGGAGCTTATTCGAGAACTGGAAAAGGATAAATAACGGATTTTCGCTTTCGATCCGGTTGTGTCATCTCATATCCCTTGACTTCGTACACCACAAAATATCGCTGTTTATTAGTTCGTTAGTGCCACACGTTTATCATTTGTAGATAATGTGGATACATACATATATATATTTCTCGTCGGTCTCGACTCATATCAAGCTGAATAAACCATATCAGAAAAATGAATTTTTTGCATGTTATATTTCATCAAGTGTAGGTCTTCAATTATCCTGCTATTTCGCTAACCAATGTTAGATTAACCCAGTCCTTTTGTAGCTTTGCTAACTTTGAAGTTACAACTAGCCTGCGTAACATTTCCGCGGTCTTAATGCAAAGTGGAACTTTAAATTCACTTTTATTGTGGCTCAGCTACACACACCATTTGCTTTAACTTTAATGGCTCTTAGAGTTGAACCCGGATGAAAAACCTCGAGTATAAGCTAGGTTCAAACTAAACAGACACTGGATAATTTAAGTGATTTTCTCTTGCACATGGTTCATGTTAGGATGGCGCCAGGTAACAGTTCATTGAGTCAAAGACCGATCTGAAAACTACTGTTAAATGCGAACGTATAAAACTACTTTCGTCATGCCGATGATCCCCCGTGGTTCTTGTGTAACAAGCGATCGGGAGAGAACAGGGATCATCAATAAGGAAATTTTATTGTACGTAACCGTATTATAACATCGAGGTTCACTTATGTACAGAAAATGAACGCGATATCGCGTGAGTCTTTAGTGTACCTCGATTCCTCCATGGTACGACAGTCGTTTCCCCTGTCATACTGATCGGTTGATCTGTAACACTAAAGAAGTACAGCGTCATCAGAACCTAACAGAAATGCTTGGTCTGATTCAAATCCTGTTTGTCTATACATTTTCTTTGAAACGCAATGAGCTTCCGCCCAATCTCGAGATTTGTGAACTTATCTCTCCCACGGGTTATGAAGGACTAGTCTGTACCTACTACAATTGGTCTCGTACACTTTGTAAGTGCGTTGCTCCGCTTAAGTATTTAGACGGATTATGTGACCGCTAATTGTTGTACCGGTAGACTTCGTCATTTCTTTGCCAACGGCTGCTCATATGGCATTTCGGTTATTTCTATCACACACACACGCATATATATATATATATATTCTGTGGGTCTAAGCTTGTTATCCACAGAAAGTAACATTCTATTCCTGTTCACGCTTCGCTAGGTTTTCTTATTTGAGACGGATCTTATCCCGGTTTGATTATCAATGCACTAGTGAATACTATGCAAAACATTTCTTGCTTGTTTTACTTTTTTATTGCACGCACTTGTGTGATGAATAGACGGACTGGAACTCAGTCCCGAAAACCTGTTATTCAATAGTGGAAACAGGCAAACTATGCCCAGGGACTTGAAGTGACCAACCACATTAGGCCCCTGTGGGTTGGGCGTGGCGTATGAGGTTTCCACGTGTTTCCTTCGGTTACATTCTATTAGAAATAAGGTCAACGTCCCAACGCACTATTACTTAGTGTTTATATGAAAGCTCTCCCAAGGTTCCTACCGTAAATACCTATCGTTACTGTTGCATTCTCCTCTAGGAGTCCCGTGGCATAAAGTTCTAGTCACGGAACAGATAGGCATCCCCTGTTTTAGTTTTTTATGTCTCAATTATCGATTGGGGTATGTTCATTAGTAAGAGCGAAATCGATCGATTGGTTAAAGTGTTCCTCCCGCAATATCGCATTACATTCGAAATGCGCACAAATGTATCACTGTGAACTACAGGTCAATTATGCATATTCTCTTCTCTGCACTAAATACTGCTTTATCATTGCGTTCGCCAGCCCCGAGTTCCTTGCTGCTCTTTACGTGCGTTTTGGCGTCTCGCATGCGTTCAAGCAAATGTGGCGGTTATTTAATGGCGATGTTATGCATACCTCTTTAGACTGAATTCCATTAGTTAATCGACTGCTTTATTTAGCTGAATAGTCTGGCGTGGATAAAAACAAAACAGTCGTGTTTATGTACTTAATGATTGAATGCAGTTCTCTTTCCAGACAAATTGTATAGGAGACTGCCCTAGTTGACGAGGGAGCAGAAAAGTGGAGTGTAAAGGACACTGATGAAACAGTGTTTGGCTTCAAAACTGTCTGGGTTCAGGTAATCGAAAGTGCTGTCCCTGCAGTTCCTAAAACAATCCTGACTGTTAGAAAACCAATGAAATTCGATACCATTTTTGACCATTATGTTCTTCGCACACAGTACTCATGAAATAAAGACAATCACTAGAGAATCCCGAATGTTACACCGCCTTGAGAAGGTGGAGATACATTCATAACATTGAGATATATTAAGACGGAGGTCAAAGAAATACGAGCAGTTGTGAATATCATAGACCTGTGTAGAAGTAAAGTATTAAATAGGGATTTCCTGACAACACCGACTCATCAGCATACCTAAATAGTTTGACGGAAGCACTAACCGCTAATTCGGTGATGTGATGTAAAGGTAAATGGTCATAGCTGCACTCTCGGAAATCAGTAGGAAAAACCTAAGTTCAAGTTATTCATCTTGCGCTCGATAAGGATGGATCTGAGCTTGAGTGACACATGACCGCGCCTGATTCATGCATTTTTCTTGTGTCTTCTTATTGGTTTCAGCAGCACAAACTCTCCATCAAGAGAAAATAGGTTTCAAAGAGGAAGCTTAAGTCTTGGTATTCCAGTGTATTAAGGAAAAGTTGCAGTTAATAACGAGTTTTTGAAGAAGAATCAAGGGATAGTAGTGTTCGATTAACCTTTTAGGAAGAGCAGTCATCAAATTGGATCTTGGATATGATTTTCATTTGGTGAGAAGTGCCCTAAGCNATACGTCTAATTTCTAATTAAATTGAAGGAGTGTTCACTGATGGAAACAGGAGCGCCTCACAAACTAAAGTTTTGTTATGCATTTCGTTCTGCCGGCGATGAGGTGGATCGATGAGTATTTAAGAAGATTTGGTAATAATTCTAATTCAGGGTAACCATCTTCGTTGATTAGGGCATATTGTGCAAGCACACTGGTGTCCCACCGGAACTCGTCTTATTTCGTGTTGCTGTTCTGGGTTGGAGGAAATGACGCGGAGGTCAACCCATATCGTGGAGATGAGACATAAAGAAATATTCGGATCACTTGGGTCGTGTAGATGTTTCCTTCCTTCCAGGTTGTGGTCTAAAATACTCTACCTGGTAGAAAGCAGCCACCGTAGCACTGAACTGATGACATTGAAATTCATGTTGTCAGGTTAGCACGTTTAAAATGGTGTATGTGTAACTGGGATGTGTTTTGTGTGTTGACAAAAGTGGTTCACTTCCTTCCCTCCTCTCTCAAAACACAGTT